GTGTGCCGCTGAAAAGATGAGATGAAATCGCTTGAAAACGATATAAAGAACGCCAGAAACAGAGTTACGGTTTGGAAATTGCAAGCGATTCAAATATGGCCACGTTCTGCGATTTACAACATGTAGCCATCTAAATGCAATGAGATGAACATGCTACAGCACCCAAACATGACAACAAAATACATGGCAGGGATGCATTCATGATGCTTAACAAAAGTCTAGCACTGAGCTACGGCCAATTCATCCATTAACAGGTTCAAACAAGCATGACAAAAAATGCATATGGTAAACAGATCTCAGACTTAGTGAAATTAACACTTGTCTGGAATTTCAGATCAGATAGCACACTTCGGAGCATGAAAACTATATGCTACAGGACCTGAACATGGCAAAGTAAAGCATGGCATGGAGCTACTCAAAGAGATTAACAAAAGTCCCTTAGTGACCTTGAGCCAAAAGGGGTCAGAAAATACAATTGCAAGCATGTGAACATGGCAAAAACATAATCAGATCACAGACTTAGTGAAAACTGGCACATGCTGAAACAGATATCAAGTAGACATGTTTACAAGCTCGATGCACTCACTACGGAGCAAGTCATGACAATCTAAGAATACACCCATCAAGAATACACAAAATGCAAGCTAGACATGGCAAGAACAATATCATAGCATGCACGGATCAACTACAACATCCTCGGCAAAATCGCTAACAAGTAGACAATCTGCCCAGATTCACGAAGTAGCGAAAGTAGAGCTCGATTGACTCAAGCTAGGGTGCTCCATAATTGCAAACAAAGACATGGATGGATAGAGCACTATAAGATTAACAAAACATCCTTACTGATCATCCTCAAAAGAGGCACGGATCACTAGGAAATAACATGAACATATGGCCATATGAGATAAACAGGCCATATGAGATAAACAGCTCAAGGACTTAGTGGAAATGCTAAGTCCCTGAAATCAGCATTACCAAGTGTCTCACTTTGCAAGCTTGTTCTAGTCACCACACACATCACTAAAATACATGGTTTGCACCTTTGGAAAGATGGAAAAACCCTTAACAAAACATATGTAGAACTCATGGGCATATCATGCACACAATAATCATGGCAAAAATGACAAATAGCTAAATGGAGCAGCAGATCTGACAATTATCTCAAGTAGCCCTCTTCTAACATCATTTCTGGCATCAAGATGAACTCAAATTAAAATAATGCAATGAGATGAAATGATGTGCTCTCTGAGGCGAACATTTTGATATGTTATATGCCCAAAACGGAGTTACGGATGCGGAGTTACGATGCAATGAACATGGCAAAATATTACTAAAAAATTAGGTCAAAGATCAACCGAATCTCAGATCTGAAACTAGATCGGGCGTGTGAACCGAGGCAGCGGCCGGAGCTACTGTAGACGCCGGAGAAGGACGAGGCGAACGGGGAGGAGGGAGCTCGCCGGGGTTGCCGGGGCCGGCGAGGAGCGCCGCGGTGGTGGCCGGCGCCGGAGATGAGGCGGCGAGGGACTCCGGCCAGCACGTGCGTCGGCGCGGTGAGGAGCTCCGGGCGGCGGCCGGCAATGGCGCTGCGGCGGCCGGCCGGGAGGAAGGGCGCGCGCGCGGGGAAGAAGGGAGGCGGCGCGGTCGGGGCGTCCGGGCCCGGTCGACGCCGGGAAGGGCCGGCCTCGGGCCTTCGCGGGCCCTTGCGGCGGCGGCGAAGTGGGCACCTGCCCGGGGACACGTGGCAGCGAGTGGTAGGTCAGCGGCGGCGGCGGACAACGTCCGCTAGGACACGGACATGTTCGGCTGCGACGGGGATTTTTTTAGGGTTTGGACGGGGGAGATCCGGATGTGGAATGGGGGAGGTATATATAGGCATGGAGGGAGCTAGGAGAGTCCAAATGAGGTGTGGTTTGTGGCCACGCGATCGTGATCGAACGCTCTAGATGATGGAGCAGGTTTTGGTGGCTTTTGGGCCACTTTGGAAGGGTGTTGGGCTGCAACACACACGAGGCCTTTTCGGTCCCTCGGTTAACCGTTGGAGTATCAAACGAAGTCCAAATGGTACGAAACTTGACAGGCGGTCTACCGGTAGTAAACCAAGGCCGCTTGGCAAGTCTTGGTCCAATCTGGAAATGTTTAAACCCCACACACGAAAGAAAGGTAGAAATGACCACGGGAGGAGAACGAAGCGCCGGAATGCAAAACGGACAACGGGGAAAATGATCGAATGCATGAGATGAACACGTATGCAAATGCAATGCACATGATGACATGATATGAGATGCATGACAACGATAACAACACACGGAGACAAAGACCCGAACCCGAGAAAATAAAATAACTTAACGCCGGAAACGGCAAGAGTTGGAATACATATTGGGTAAGTCATATCCGGGCTGTTACATCTATGGTTACGGTTTTGCGTAAAGCCAATTTTTCCCTACTACAAAGGAATAAATTTATTTAACTATCATGATAGTTGTTAAACATTGAAAATGATTGACAGCATTCTCAATCCCAATTAAGCATCATCATTATAAAACCCAACAAAATTAATTTAGAGTAACATGTTGAGATTCACATGATAATCCAGGTACTAGATACTCAAGATGTCCATAACCGGGGACACGGCTAATCATGATTAGTTTATTACACTTTGCAGAGGTTTGCACACTTTTCCCCACAAGACTCGATCGCCTCCGTTTGGTTTCTCGCACTACATGGTGTTTGAGAAGATGGATGACCGAGACACAGTCTTTCAGAAGCGCTAGCACCTTACGATGGATAGACCGTTACACCTACTTTCCCCTACATCTGCTAGTCTACCCTGTAAGAGTTCGCACGGCTTAATCAACTATGCCAGAGCCCATCATCGCTTGTGGCTGGACACGGAAGTTTCTAGTATGAATAATCTCATGATCCCTTTGAGCCTGGGTGGTGGTCCAAAAGAAACAGGCAATCCTGAAATACCCAGGTACCTCAATCCACCCAGATGTGTGTTTAATTTTCCACCTTAGATAAACCATTAATTAACAAACTCACATCTATCATAAATATAACTCACCCAATCCACGTCTACTAGCATAGCATAGCATAATGGCAAACGTAGAAGTAACTCCCAAAGGTTTGATAATAAAACAGGTAATAGGTACTACCTCAACTACTTCCCATCCCACGATTTAATTAGATCCTAATCATGCAATGTGTGAGGATTGATCTAATGCAATAAAACTGGGTAGTAGAAAAGGTATGATCAAAGTGTTACTTGCCTTGCTGATGATCCGCGAAACTTAGAGATTCGAAGTAACAGGCGGCGCACTCCGGGTATTCTATCGCAGAAAAACAAACAAGCATACAATAAGTACTCATCTAATGCACAGGTAAAAGTCAAATAAGAGATCTAACCAGAAAGTTCAACTTAAGAACTCCGGTTTGCAAAAAGAATCAAATCAAGCGAAGCAACGAAAGTCAAACGGCAAAAGAAAACAACTTTGTTCTACTAATCTGGATCTAAGGCAATTTTTACAATAGCAAAAACTTGTTTAAGTTGGTTAAACGGATAGAGGGTTTCGAGACGAAACTCCAGGCGATTGAATCGCCTGATTCCGATAAACGAGCGAAAAGTTATACTAAAACGAAAATCGGATCAGAAATCGCGATCAGAAAAATCGCGGATTTAATCCGAGAAAAAGAAAAATGACGAACATTCGCTAGAACGAACGAACGGACGAACGCTCGCTAATTAAATAAACCGGAAAAACCGATCTATTTAAAAAAACCAAAACTAAAAAATCGACGAAAAACCGATGGTTTTTCGAAAAAAACGGCAGCGCGGATTTCGAGGCGAGGCGAACCTCGGGCGGCGGGTCGGCGGCGGCGGCGGCCGGCTCCGGCGACGGCGCGGCGGGCGGCGGCGGCGGTAGCGGCGGCGGCGTGGCGACGGCGCGAGCGGGCGGCGGCGGCGGCTCGGTGGGGCTGGAGCTAGGGTTTTGGCCAGGGGGTGGGCCGGCTTATAAAGGCTAGTCGGGCCGGAGTCCTAGTCGGACACGGCCCGTAGATCAGTGCGATTTTTTTTAATAATTACGCGCAGAAGAAAAATAAAAAGAAATACTAAACGGACTCCAAAAATCCCGAAATAAATTTTCCTGGGCTTCTAAAATCAAGCCGCACATTTATTTGGGGCCTATATACAATTTTGAAAAACGCACATTTTTCCTAAATTCAAATAAAATAACGAAAAACTCCGAAATAAAATATTATTTGATTTTTTTATTAAATCCTCAATATTTCTTTATTTTGGGAAAGTCATTTTATTCCCTCTCTCATACTTTTGTAATAGAAATAATTGATGATAAAATAATTTAAATCAAATGATCCTATTCTCAAAATTTGAGAAAACTCAAATATAAAAATAAAGAATTTCCAACTCGCTCCGTGGGTCCTTGAGTTGCGTAGAAATTTCTAGGATCAAACCAAAGGCAAAATAAAATATGATATACAATGATGATCTAATCTATAACATTTCAAATTGAAAATTTGGGATGTTACAAACTGGACAGAATCAGAGTATCATAAGTTTTTTGACATAGATTAGCTAGTACTCCCTCCGTCCTATAATATAAAAACGCTCTTATATTATGGGACAGAGGGAGTAGTATCCAGTGTTTCAGGTGTAGATGTTAACATTTCATCTTGAGAGATTTTACATTCAACAGACAATGCGTGCTTTTTGGTTTGACTTATCTCTCTTTGCGAAAGAATACATTGTAGGAATGTATAGAATTGTTCTACTAACAAATAGTACAACTCATTCTAAGTAGACAATTTACTAGCTTGCATGGCTCTAATAGATTTTGGAATATTTTATTCCATCCGACTAGCATTTCTGAACAATTATTGTTTCTTGCCTGTTTGTCTACAAAGAGGAGGAATCTGGTTTCACCCCCTCAATCTGCTTTTACTTCCTACTAATAACATTTTATCAAACATGCCATGACTCATGAGCATGCAGCTTCGACCACAAGGCTTTTTGTGACTCCTCTGCATGGATCTCCGAAGTTCTTTGCTGACACCGGCACACTGCAACTGCTCACCCCGACGCATGCCTGGAGAGTTACCCGCAGCATTGTCAGTATCATGAAGATAAACAGTACAGAAAGACATAGCAAGTGTGGAAGTGGAACAGATTGGAGTTACCTCCTGAGCGACTGCCAGAGCCTGAGAGCTGCTGCATTCGCCATGGCTGTAGCTCCCACAGGTGCCACTCGGTGTCCCGAAGCTTGCAAACTTGATGCTGCTGATGACCTGACCTTCTTTGGGGCATTCCAGACGAAGTGCTGGCCCAGACCTCTGTAATTTCTGCTGGGGAGAGATCCAGCTATCGATTTGGTCGGGATGATCCTCAGACACGTGTGCGCATACACTTTCTGTCTGTTTCGTCGTGAAGGATATCTTGCTTGGGTCACCACCAAACTGCTCGAAAAGGACTATATCATTGCTGCCTGGTTGGAGAAACGAACGGGGCACATGATACCTGTTTAACAAGGTAAGAAATTGAATTTGTCATTCCATTGTAGCAGTTCATATGTTTTTTGTACGAAAAGGAAAGACTATATTGATTCAATGCTGAAACCATCTGGCCTTCATTTGTAAGTACCAACGAGTGACCAATATAGCATTACTTTGGTCTCAGTAAAAGCTAAATGCCATGGAACACCCAAATAATACATTTAATTGAAAGGGTAGTTAAACCATTTTAGTATGAGCCTATGACAACATATAAAACATTAGAATGTGCTCTGCCTGTAGGTAGCAAAAGATGGTATGAATTTTCATGGAGAGGATTCTTACAAAGTCTGCGATGGCTGCCCACATTTCTTCAGGCATTTGCTTGCGCCGTAAGGTCCTCTGTAGTTGCATGAATTAACACAGCCACTTTGTGGAGCGATATTTGTCGGCCAGTAGCGACCAATGCTCTGCCCGTTCACCCACGCCTCACCTTTCCCCATTCCTGTGAAGTCTATGGCAACAGGATCATCACCTGCAGGAGTTGTAAATTTGCTCTGCATTTTGAGCATTGCAGTTAGAGCATTGATTCCCAAGATAAAAATAAATAAATCGTAATGGCACTACAGCACTACACTTATTCAAATGCTACCATAGTTTCATGGTTGGAGGATCATACTGACCTTGTACCAGGTCAAAGGGTTATTGGTTGGGTAAGAGTTATCTGATACCCATTCTGGAGAGGCCTCTGAGGGATTATACAGGTGCAAGTCTTCTCCTCTGAGTCCGATCTGGAGTGACCAAATATTTTGACAAGGAAAAAACCAACAATGCTGTTACTATACGCCATGGTTTACCCATACTAGTTAATGGATTCGAAAACAACATTTGCTGATAATTGCTCAACCCAGATTACTGGTTGTACACACCTGGTATGTCCAATCTGCAGAAGATAGATCGAGCGCACCCTTCGGCCCAGTCAGCTTTACTGGACCGGTAATTCCAGCACCAACTAGGTCAAAGAATGCACCATAGTTCTGAAGCCACAGTACAATGTTAGTAACTTGGTATTAGATGTGGTTTTACATTTTTGAATACCTGTTTTAAAATGCCAAAGTATCAGATGGACAGCAAAATGGAGTAGAGTGGATACTGACTCACCGTCAGACCAACTGTTGCACTCAGAAGATCTATTTTATTCTTTCCAGGTACAAGTGTAACTGGTGTTGTCAATGAGATCAGGGAGCTACTAGCATTACCCTTACCGCTACCTGGTAAGATTTCAATACTTATACATTCCAGTACACAAATGCACCTTACAGATGAAATATGAATGTTGGTAATTAACATGACAATCCAAATGTCATCTGAATGAGTTTGCATTTTCTTCTCACACATTACCTGCAAACTTGCCATTGATGAAGACCTGAAGAACATGCCCAAGTGAGTTGACCAGCAGATTGGACTGACTACCATTCAGATACGGTTCACCACCCGCCACGACGATGCTGCACAAAGTAGAAATCAGTCAGTAAAAACCTGCCACTACCAGCTTGTCGATTACCATGTGCACAAGTACAGCTAAGAGTGCAATCCTGTACCTTGTTGAGTACCACAGGAAATCGCTGGCGTCTGCGGTGGTGTTTATCTGCTCCATCAGCCCAGGCTTTGTCATGGCGTTCTCCTTTGTGATACCGACAGGCTCTACGGCGTAGCTCCAGGTAGAAGAAGCGAGTTCTGCTTCGACGGACGAGCCGTCTGACGCCTGAGTGCTGAACCCCAGGTTTCTCATCTGTGTAGATGCTACCTGAGAGTTGATCTGCGAAGAGTAGTGACCGTGATCAGATCCAAGGTCAAGACTGGTTCCAGAAACACGGCTTCTTTGTCTTAAACAGGGCAATGCACATACCTGGGCAGTGTTCAGCACCACATTCGTGCAGTCAGGAAGGATGCTGACGGACCACGCAGGGAGTTTATACGCCTTGCCGTTGAAGGTGACAGTCTTGTCAGACTGATTGTCTATATTGGCGAGGAATGCGGCGCACAGTGAACCGGTCTTGTATACGTGCGCCTGAAGCCAGAAGAAAGCGCAGATATCATCATCATCATCAAGCATAATAGAGCAGACCATAAAGGTACATACTACATATTATTCCTGAACAAGATTTGCTGTGCGACGCTGATTGATCTGTCTTTCTTAAACGAAAGTCAGTTTGATCTGTCTCTTTTTTCGTTAAACAAAAGTTGCTTTTGTGAAAAGCGGATCGCGTACCTCAGCATTTTGACCAAGGGACATGTATGATGGATCGGTTGCTATGAGTGCAGGCTCGCACATCTTTATCGCCTTGTGGACATCCCTCAAGTGGCCCCACTTTGGCTGCCTCACTAGCCCTGGATCACACAGTGCAAAAAACGGCAAATGCGTTGTTAGGAAAAGCTATTTTTTTTAAAAAAAAAAAACATATGTATCCTTATCCATGTAAACATGAGAACGCTAATCATCCTCAAGTTTGGTCATATGATCAGTACTGTTTTTCAGTACGAAAGCGCGTGCCTGCGCTGCATTGGAAATGAACTGAACTTCTGCAACTGCAAGTGCAACACCGGCGTGCAGAGCTAGTGCGCGTGCTTGTGGGTGGACGTGCGCAGTTTCAGTAGGCGAGGCAAGTATCCTTTCTACTTCAAGAATTCATCATGCAGTCCCTGTTTTCATCAGTATCACGTCTGCTCCACGGTACATCCGACCACTGAACGAGCTAGACTGAAGCAATTCAGTAGCCAATAGGTGCGACCGTCACAACTGAAGCAGCCCCCCAGTTGAGGAACTGAAAGAAAAACGAGACATGGGCAGCTCAACAGGCACTCACCGTACTCGTCGATGGGGGCGTCGTAGTCGTAGCTCGTGGAGATGAAGGGCCCTCCCGAGCTGCGGCCGAAGTTGGTCCCGCCGTGGTACTGCAGACACAGTACAGTAAACAAAGACCCGGCCGGAGTTAGCCACAGGAGCAGAGGAGAGGATTTTGGCTGGGTGCATCAGCTGGCAGCGTAGCACGTACCATGTAGTAGTTCTGCAGGGTGCCGCCGCGCTGGTAGAAGCGGGCGACGGCGAAGGCGAGGTCCTCGGTGGGGCGGTAGGGCACGGCGCCGCCGAAGGAGAGGAACCAGCCGCTCCAGTTCTCGGTCCACAGCTTGGGACTGCTGGGCAGGCTCGGCGTGAACTGGTCGCAGTAGAACCCGTTGCACGTGTTGATCTGCATTTTGTTTCTCTCTCCAGTTCAGTCACGTCGCCGTCGCTAGCTGACAATGACCCAGGCAGGGCAGGGACGATGAGATGAGCTTACCAGGGGCGCCGGCGCGTCGGCCTGCTGGCACATGACCCAGGGCACGCCGGTGTCGAGCGCGACGGCCATCCCGGCGGCCCAGCGGATGTACGACTTGCCGGGCGCGCCGTAGGACGCGTCGATGTTGCCGTACTCGTTCTCGATCTGCGACAGGATGATGGGCCCGCCCTGCGACGCGTACAGCCCCGCGCCCTTCATCGTCGCCACCACCTTCTCCGTGAACCGCTGCATCTCCGTCTGCACCCACACCACACCACTCACTGACTGGATCATCATTTCAATCATTGACCGATCGATCGATCAAGCTGCATTGCGCAATGCTCTCGCGTACCTTGAAAGGCTCGTTGTCGGTGCGGAACTTGATCCCCGGGATGAAGTGCAGCCATAGCGGGAAGCCTCTGCAGTGCAGCCACACGAGCAACGGCACACGGTTAGGCTCGACCGGACTACGAGAGCTTCTCATACAGGGGGAAATGCTGCAGAGTTTGAGGGGTGTCAGACCCGTAGTTCCACTCGGCGCAGACGTAGGGGCCGATCCGGAGGTGCACGTAGAGCCCGGCGTCGGCGGCGGCCTTGACGAACCTCACCAGGTCATTCCTGCCCTCGAAGTCGTACTGTCACGTTGCAAGCTCGTAACCGTCAGAATTTTGCAATAGTAACAGATACTACTACCAACACAATGTGAACTTCGAAGAGAAATACTATATTTTTAGGCAAAATGTCACTAGTTCGAAGCTCATGATAGATATAGTGTACGATCGAGAGGTAAAGTGCTTGGGAGTGAGTGGGAAGAATAAAGCATAGGGTGCAGGGGAAGCAAGCAGCGCCCTTTCACACATGACCACCAGCTGGAAGAGATGATTTGAGAGAAAGGAGAAACGAAACTAGTATGACACTAGAGAAAATAGCATGGCAGCAAGAGAGGTTGATGGCCTTGGCCTGGCCGGTATGGAGTGGAGAACGTGCCTGTCCCCGGACGGGCTCGTGGGCGTCCCAGAAGACGTACGTCTCCACCATGTCCAGCCCGCCGTCCTTGGCCTTCTGCATCAGCCCCGGCCACATCTGCAATCAACCACGGCCAGCGTTCAGCTCAGAGGAGAGAGTAGGGAGGACACACAGACGAGAAAGAAAGAAAGCAAGCAAGCAAAGCAGAGCCGGGGAGCGGGACGTACGTCGGGGGTGCTCCGCGGGTAGTGGATGGAGCCGGAGACGAGCACGCGGCGCACGCCGTCGATGACCAGCGCGCGGTGGTCGTACGTCACGTTGGTCGCCGCCGACGTCCCCGCCAGGCAGAGCAGCGCGAGCAGCAGGGCCGCCGCCGCGCCCGGCAGCCTGCCGACGGCCGCCATTGCCTGCCGCTCTCCCGAGAAGAAACACAACGATAACTGCACCTTGTTTGTTGGATGGGTTAATGGCGTTCGGTGTACTGGCCGAGCTAGCGCGGTGGTAGTGGAGTGCGGGCGGCGAGCAGGAGCAGGAGGAGGTGGAGTTGCTCGGTGGGGGGCGGCGAGAGAAAAGAAAGAAAAAAGAGAGGGGAGCTCGGTGCCTCGGTGTGTGGCTTGGCTTCCCGGGCGAAATGGGATTTAACGGAGCAGAGCACACACACAAACTCTACTGGTGGTTTAATATACGCCCCAGGGCCGGGCGCGCACAAAGGAAATGCACCTCGCTTTCTCGCTTTGTTTGTTTCTTGTGGATGCGGTGGTGGTGGTGCCGTGCCCCTCCTCCTCGGCTCTTCCCACCGCGATTAAAAAGGCTTTGCGCGCTCGCGGCAGGCAGGCAATGGGGTGGGTGTGGTCGTGGCTGTGTTCTCTCTCGTGGACCTTCCTCTCTTGCTCCAATCGCGCGGTTTGCTGCTGCTTGCAAGCAACGGCAACAATGGCGGCGACCTCTGGTGCGATCGCGATGAAAACGAAATTGAACTGGATCGGATCGGGTCGACGGGAGGAGGAAAGAATTTACTCCCGCTGCGCAGTAGTTAATGGCGGCGGCGTGATGGTTCGGTGGTACACACGGCGTGGATGATTGATGGGTGGGCCGCGGAAGTAATGCAACCATCTTCCTCCCTTCCTTCCTTCCTTCCTTGCTCTCACTCTCTTTTTCCCCTCGCTGAAAATTACATCTCCCTTCTTTTTACTTACACTGCAGGAGCTTTTAGTATTCCCCCTCGCCGTACGTCCCCAGCCATGTGCTCTTGGCATTGGCCACGCAGAACTAGTAAAGAAAAGAAGGATAGGAAAGGGGCCGGCTAGCAGTAGCGAAGCTAGCTACTCGGCGCCACACCGACAGACGGACAGACAGGGGTCGTGTGCGGTGACCGGCCGGCGTTGTCGCTTGCCGATCCATCATCCCCATTACCAGGACAGCACGTAGCGCTACATGGGCTAGTTGTACCACGTCTGCCGCTCGGGTCACGAACGGCCTTGTCGCTTCCCCGTCCCCGCGCGCTGGCGATGCGTGTTGTATCATATGCTGCACTGCCGGCGTCCTGGACTGTACCGCGGGACGGATCCATCTTCTTTTCTTATCTTGTTTGGGAGGGTTTGGGTTTGGGGAAAATGGAAATGGCGAAGGTGGAGAGTGGTCTAGCTTAATTTGGAGCAGTGGAAGTGGAAGATGATGACGCCGCGAGCTGTACACAGGAGCGAGTTGTCGATCGCTGCCGCGCTCGTCCGGCTTCGTCAGGTCAGAGAGAGGGGGAGAGAGATGATTTTTTTGGCAAGAGTCTGTGAAGTTGTGGAAAGAGATGGAAACTTGTCGGCGAAGCTTATCTGCTAGAACTGCACAGGAGATTGTTTTTAGTGATTTCTGGTTATTAAAAGCCTTGGATTTTAGCCTTTTATTCATGATGATGAAGAAAAAAACTCCCCCGCTTTTGTGAAGCTTGTACCACAACCTTTCTCTCTAAATGGGGCTACCTATCAAAGATCCTATGCACGCATTTTCTTTATATTGCAAGATACTAATGATAGAAGTTCCCTTAACAAGCCCTTGCACACGATTTTGGGGGCATGGTAGCCTCATCGCACAAGAATCCTGTGAGGCAATTAAGCAACCGCTACTCTCAAAATCTCAAATAGTGTCCTAGGCTAGGCTGGTGATACGTTTCATTGATGAAACTAGTTGTGTTTTGCTCACGCGGCACTCAAATTACACATGCACATCGATACGACCTTGGCATGTAACACATCATCTCGGTTATTAATTTGTCGGTTAGGGCATTTACAACGCCATCTCTCAAATCGGGCTCTATCCATCCGTAGACACGTCTGCAAACACGGATATGTGAGCCGGTCATTCAATTATATCCATCAAATGTTTGCCCATGTTTTCTTTTCTTTTAATGTCCGCAACACTTCAAAATAACCGAACACAATTCTTCGACTAGTGAAGATATTCAAATGCAACACTAGTTCAAATTTAAATATTACAATTCAAACATTATGTTTTCAAATAAAATATTCAAACTTGAATTCAACTTATGTTCTACGTCTGCTGCTCAGGTCATGAACGGTGTTGTCGCTTCCCATCCGGCTAGTGATGCATATGATATGCTGCACCACCGGTGTCGTGGACTGTACAGTGCGAGGGATCCGTCTTCTTAGTTGTTGGAGAGGGTTTTGGATAAATGAAAATGCCAAGGGTGGAAAGTGGTACAGCTTAATTTGGAGCAGTGCAAGATGATGATGCAGCGAGCTGTAGACAGGAAGTTTTGGCAACAGTCGTGAAGTTGTGGAAGGAGATAGAAACTTGTCGGCGAAGCTTATCTGCTAGAACTGTGCAGGAGATTGTTTTTAAGTGATTTCCGGTTATTAAAAACCTTAGATTTTATTCGTGATGAGAAAAAAAATCCCTCCCTTCACTCAAGCTTGTACCGCAACCTTTCGCTCTAAATGGCACTACCCTACAAAGATTCTATGCACACATTTCTTTATATTGCAAAATAATAATGAGAAGCGACGCCAATTAATATGGATTGGAGAGAGTGGAAGCTTCCATAACAAGTCGTTATGCATAATTTTGTGGGATGGTAGCCATATCGCACAAGAATCCCGTGATGCAACTAGGCAACTGCCACTCTCAAAATCTCAAACAATGTCCTAGGCTAGGCTGGTGATACGTTTATTTTTCTGACGGGCAACGGCAGGAGCAATGACAATTCATAAAAGAGGAGGGAAAGGTGACAAAAAGCCCCAGAGTACAGTACAGACCAATGCAGCCGAACCACACGAGATTAGGCAAAGCACAAAAAAACACTCAACCTGGATCAAAAGAGGAGAAGACCCAGGAAAGAAGAAGAATAGGAAAATAGCAGAGATGGGCAGGCCTCAAGTGAAAGCCTCTCAAAACATCCAAAGTTCATATCTTGCCATGGCTGTTTCATTGGTGAAACTAGTTGTCTTTTGTTCACGCGGCATTCAAATTACACGACCTTGGCATGTCACACAACATCTCAGTTATTAACTTGTCGGTTGGGGCATCTCCAACGCGGACGCGGATCCTCTGACAGTACTGCCCACACACTGACGTATGGATCCGGACCCACACGTCAGTGACCCAACATCATGGGGTCGTACGTCACGGGATCCGACTCCCTCCAACGCGGTCTCTCAAATGAACTCACCATCAGTCCGTGGATGCTTCCAGAGACACAGATACATGAATCGTTCATCCAATCCTATCCATCGAATGTCTGCCCCTGTTTGCCCATGTGTTTCTTTTCTTATAAAGCCTGCAACACTCCGAAATACCAATAAGTGAGCATAATTCTCTTAGTGAAAATATTCAAATGCAACACTTGTTCAAATTTAAATATTACAATTCAAACATTATGTTTTCAAATAATATTGTCAAACTTGAATTCAACTTACGTTTCAGTTGTCCTCTTTAACCGTCCATGGCTGAGGATGGGTCTACCGCTCGGGTCCAGAACGGCGTTGTCGCTTCCCCGTCTTCGCGCGCTAGTGGTGCTTATGATATGCTGCACTGCCGGGGTCGTGAACTGTACCATGGGAGGGATCCATCTTTCTTTGTTGGCGAGGGTTTGGAAAAAACGGAAATGGGAAGGGTGGAAAGTGGTGGCTTAATTTGGCGCAGTGGAAGATGATGACGCCGCGAGTGTTAGACACAACATGGTTACAAATGTAGACATGGGTGGTTGTCAATCGTTGCTATGCTCATGTGGTTTCGTCAGACAAAAAGGAATTTCTGGCAACAATCGGTGAAGTTGTGGAAAGACATGGAAACTTGCCGGCGAAGCTTGTCCGCTAGTCTTGTAGGAGATTCAGTTTGTGATTTCCATTTTAAACTTGCATCGACGACGAATGAAAAACTGGCACTCAACAACAACAAAACGGGCCCAATAGAATTGGACCGCCAAAATACTGGAGTTTGTATCCTAACTTTTCGCTCTAAATGTTGCTACCTACCATTGCCAACAAAGATCATATGCACACATTTCTTTTTATTGCAATTAATACAATAAGTTTATTTTCGGCACGAAAAAAGTTTCGGAAAACAAGAAGTACTGCAAGATTTATATGGTACTGTAGCCTTATCACAGAAGAATTCTGTGAGGCAACTGCTCATATACAGACACAGACGCTCATATACACGCGCATACACTCATCCTTATGAACGCATACACGCACACTCTACCCCTATGAGCACCTCCGAGAGACTGAACCGGCATATCATCTTGTGATTTACGAAGTCATCGTAGGCACCTCGTCGTCGACGGGAACGTCTCCTCCCACTGAAAACGCATCGCCGGAAATCCTGAAATAAATCTAGGAATAATGCGAGCACCAGGATTTGAACCTGGTGGGTTGGGGAGTAATTTCCAGGGCCGAAGATACCTTTTATTGATAAAATTGTGAGAAATGTTTTCACTCGGCGCTTAATTTGATTAGACATGGACTTCGATGCGAATTTGGCATGTCACACATCATCTCGGTTATTGACCTGCCAGTTATCACATGCAAAAAACAGTGGAGGTGCGTCCATGCAATTTGCAGTCATCTTAAGAAAACTGTAAAGAATGTGACAAATTGAGTTTCTACACTCGAACTCAAATGCACCAAGTAAAATTGAAAAAATAGTTTTAGAATAAAAAAATGTCAACAAACATTGATAAATTTTCTACACACATGCAAATGTTCGTAAAGAAAAAGCATTCCTAATGCTCTCAGCGAAAACAAAAAACTAAATGCTCTAGAAAGAATATTATTTTTGAAAGTTTTTTGGAGTGTTGATCTTGTTGTTTTTGCCCAGACCTTCACAAATGTGATTTCATCACGAAGTTTTGCACAAAGGTAGAAACCTAAGAAATGTTTGCTGTAAAAAAATC